GAGGAGGAGAGGAGGAAGGGCTCTCTCCAGAGGCGAGGGAGAGAGAGAGAAAGGAGGAGGAGAGATGAGGGAGAGAGAGAGAAATGATGGAGATGAGACACGGAGGAGAAGAGGAAGAAGATGGGAGGAGCAGGAGGAGCAGGAGGAGGAGAAGAAATAGAAGACGAAACCGACAGAGTCAGGTACGGGCTTACAGTAAGGAATCGTTACCTGCAGGCCCCGTACCTCAGGCCCGGCTAGCTCGAAACGGGCTCCGGAGGCGGTTTGGGGAGGCTCAACCGACGCTGGCCTGCGCTGGGTGATTGGCCTGGCTGCTGCGGAGGCTGTATTTGGTCACTGGAGTGTACTGTACTGTATCTGTATGTATATATGTATTGTACAATACGGAGGAGCAGCTGTATGTAATACATACAGCTGCGCTCAACTCTCGACAGTTACTTATAACAATCACCCCCCCCCCCAAGTATCGAGTGTTGGTGAGGTCAGGTTCCCTTCGATTCGATCCCAGGTCTCATTCTCGTTCTCATTCTCATCTCGCCTCCCTCTGTCCCATCCCATCCCGTCGCCGTCTCTCTGTCCTGTCCGTATCCCATTTCACGTCCCAGTTCACTGGCTGGTTCCTGGTTCCGGTTTTGGGTTTTGGGTTTGGTTTTGTCGCATCGCGTCTCAAAGTTTGGACCCTTGTAACCTGGTATGATTTCCTCGAAGCAAGCAAGCAAATTGATCTATCTATCTCTTGGGATTATTGGAGGGTTCTCATTGGAGAGGCCACGGGCTCGCAACCCATGTTCGATGGTTTTTTCCCCGTATTCACCGGTAGTTAGACCTCGCGTTCAAACCAAACGCGCCCGCTCCACTGCACGACTTCCCACACAAGTTGCCAATCCTTTGGCATCGTTTCTTGAAACAAGAACACCAGTTTAAATAATCCATTAGTCTCCAATCGGTATTCAAATGACTAGTTCTTAAAATCAATAGTTTAAGTCACCCCTCAAAAATCTCCAAGAGACAAGGCTGTTGCATCATCACCGAAGGACGTCAAACACTTTCATTGCGTACAGCAGCAGGCAAATAAATGTAGCAGAACCCTGTACCAGAAATCTACAGATTAACCTCCTGTCTTCTATCCATAATTCGCCCGGTCAGCAGAACCCTAGGACTCGTCATCGACTCTCCAGAACAAAAATTATGGATGGAAGTGGGAATGGTTCCTTGCTTTCGTTCAGCCGTCGATCTTGCGGCCCCAGTGGAATCCAGGGTTCCTTGGCCTCGCGCGCAAAAGATTAAAAGGGTCGAATAATGAGCTGACCTGGCGATTCCACGGGAGCTTTGAAGGTTCTACCGAGCCTGCCCAGTTTTTATGAATGCGGGGCTCTTTGGTGGTTATAATATTTGTCCCCAGCTCAAGCTATTCTACATTCTCGTGCTGCTATTACTTTCTGACCAAAATATCATAACTTTGGGATATATTTTAGGCTTTTCTGGTTGATAGGCACCTGTACCCTGTAGCGTAAGTTAACCACAGAACGAAACGGTTGCATAACGCATCTCACAAAAATCCTTCTTCCAGAAAAATAGAAAGAAAGCAGTGAAAGGAATGAAGGACAAGGGGAATAAAAACAGGAAGAAGAAAGAAAGGAAAACCCTCAAATGAATCTTCGTCGAATATGTCCCGATGCGGCGAGGCCTGAGCAAAAATACCTAAGTAACCCAACCTACTCCAAGGCAACTAACTTCGCTCATCCCCTTAAGTTAAACACCCAATTAATTAAACCAAATAACTCACTCCTTTCTTCCGAATAACAGAACATTAACACACATGTCCAAGCCAAAAAAAAGAAAGAAAGAAAGAAAGCGATGTGGGGGAGGGGATACTAAAATAAATTAAAACCATCATCGAAGCTGAAAAACACCCATAACATCATTACTGGCAAAGGAGCATGATACAGAATTCAGCTTCAAAAGGGGGTCTGCGGTCGCCCACCATAAAAACGGAGAACATCCGCTCCTGGGACTGGAAAGAGCGAGCAGAAAGGAGATAACTCGTTAAAGGACATAAAGAACTGCCTATCGACTATAACAAATCTGCTAGTTTATATCGATCTATTTAAATTTCCAAGTCACCGTACTCTGGTTTTCTCCTGTTCTTCTATCGGATTGCAAGCAAGAAAAGATGTAGTACAGTATCTGCATACATATATTTTATTGTCTTCCCTCATCTCTTCTATCAAGGAGATAGTTGGAAGAAGGGAACAATCTGCACTTCTCAATGCATAACTAGTTCAAGCTGATCATGGACAAGAAGAATTTAGTTTCATATATATATGTATGCGGTGGAAAATAGAATGGAAATGTAGCAGGGGAATTTTGTAAGTTACTTGTTTTGTATTATATTATAACTACAATACGGCAATAACTGACAAAGATTACGACAATGCAAAAGCTTAAAGGAATACTTTTGCTATATCGGTCAATAGTAATCTTGATGACCATGAACAGAGTAATTATTGATTGTTGTTTGCACAGCTGTTTCTCTCTACACTAATAATCACTATGGAATTACGAATACCAGTGACAAATAACTCCAACGCGTGGGCTCAAAATTGTGGTTCGACTGAGGCCACTCAGAAAAGATCAACTAAGTTCTAGGGATATCAGGCACAACGGGTAATCCCTAAAATGTTAAATCACCCCTAATGTCCTCACTTGGCTAGTTAAATTACTTGCCGTGTCTTCAGGAGTATCCTGAGCACTCTCTCCATGTCAAGAATACTTTTCGTGTATTGATAAATCTGGTTGCTTTTATTATCATATGCTGAGCCATAGTTATATTCGGAATGGAGCCGTTTGAATTGAGCTCGCAGCTATGAGCACATCCGATATCCTAGGTATGCCCCACTCGTTCTAAGTTA